TTAATGGCAAAATAGCGAGTGTGCAAGAGACAATGAGACAGAGAGCAAAAGGAGCGAGCGAGAAGGAGAGGTATGGCGAGTGAACAGGGCTTATAAAATCAAGAGCATTTCAAATAGTTGGCTTATTTATGGCCAGCTCCGCATCCAGCAATCAATTAAATCCATAACAAGCAAGCTAGCCCAAACAAAAGCCAACGAAAAACCTGTCAAGTGCTGGCTTAACAATAACAACAAGAGCAACAACAACAACGACAACAACATCAACAACAACAACACACCCAGACACCACACACGCACACATACGCATGGAAAAAGTTTGCTGCAAGTTGCCAATGATTGTCAGGCAGTCGCATGTGTGTTATGAATAAGCTAAGAAACTTTTGCCACAGTCGTTGCTATCGTTGCAGTGCAACGCTTCCAAGCCAGCTAAGGAACCAAAGCCGGGGCTGTTGTCGTTGCCGTTGTAGGAGCCAGCGAGTGAGCGCGGTTAATAAAACAGACAAACACTCAAACTTTTGCTATAAAAATATCTGGCTGGGTAAGCGCCAGGAGCGGGGAGAGATCTCTTTTTTAAGTTGCCAGCGTTGTTTGCTTGCTAAACAAGTGCTATTAAAAGAGCATAAAGGTGAAAGGTGGGCGTGGCTGAAAGCACTCGTAGCGTGCAGCGCTTGTCGTAAAGGGACCTGGTTATTTGCATCTGTAGTATGTACTACCTTTTCTGAAATAAGCCCGACCAAATCTATATGCAGTTCACAGTACCTGCAATCGCTGGATGCTTCCAATACCCTCGAACCAAAATGTGAAATGGTTGGAGTACTTCTCTCTAAGAATTCGTCTTCAGCAAAAGTATATATTATAAATAACTATAATTCCACCTAATTTTGTACAGTTTATCACATCGAATTTAAATCTGCTAAAGTATCAGTATACATATTTATATATTTAAAAAGTAGTTTACCAATATTTTTCACCCTATTCTTAAAGTTAGAAATGTCAGTGAGGACAAGAGGGGTATTTGAAAGTTGATCAACTGATGTTTGCATCTCTCTCAGTGAATTGTTCTGTCCGTTGTTTTTTATGTTTTATTTAATACATAAAGAAACTTAGGTGCACTTTTGTATTTGCCGTCTTACCATGCTTTTTAATGTGCCACAAAAAAACAAAAACAAAAGGTTGAAACAAAAATAAAAAAATTTAAGCAAAACATGCAACACAGGGAAATTTTATAAGATAAGTTTTTAATGCTTTTTATTTTGGATTGCTGAATAATATAAAATATTACACTGCTTAAAATGATATGACTTCTGCATGGAATACGCGTCTTTGAGAACTTCATTAATAAACAACTCTAGTGTCTCCTAAAAAGATGTCATTAGACCAAAAGGAGAGGGACCGAGACCTTAAAAATAAAAATACCAGCAATTTGTAATAGTTTGAATGTCAAACAGGGGTTCATAAGACAAATTAAATAAAAAATATAAGAACTGGTTTTAAGTGTATTTATTCTGGAATTTCAAAAGTGATTCTGACAAAAATACAAAGTGCTTTTATTACCCATTCCACTGTCCTGTCTGCTATGGAATCACCATGAATACTCAACCAAAATCAGCCAGGTGGATGCAATGGATTATTCTTGCCGAAATGTAGGAAATGCACATGAAGTTTGTTTCATGCTTGGCAGCTTAATGAGAGTCAGCCACTGGGCGAATGAGTAACATATGCACTTTATGTAGCTTTGGAGGTGCCAATGGGCAAACATGATTGCTTAATTTTCGTTTTTAACCACATTTTTCGTGCCATTTTAAAATTGCAGCTGCTCGAATGACAAAAGCGTCTGCGTTGACCCCAAAGTGCAAAATGCAGTAAAATATTGAAATTGTACAGTTTCCCGTTGTGCAATGGTGCGTAATGAAAGTAAAGTTTTTGCCGCTGACAGCGAATGACGCTACAAGCGAGTTGAAAGGTGCACTCACACACACACATACACACATACACACACACACACACACATACACACAAAGAGAAACGTATACGCAAAGAGATTTTTGTTATACGTGACCAGCATGCGGCATGTTGCAATGCGCGTTCTTGTTGCACGGACAAAGCAAGTCAAGTAAAAACGCGACATGTGCATATATCGAGATGCAGACAAACTTATTCCGTAACTATTCCGTGTGGTAACAAGTCTGCACCATATCATATGCTGTCCTTGGCTATTGCTGCTAATAGCTAATTGCAATACGACTTATTCCTCAAAACATTCCCGCTTGGCAGCTGTTATTTGTGTACACTTGTGTGTAATACTTAATATGGTACCCTTCAATCAACACACAATTCAATAATCACTTACCATTTTTCATTTTGTTGCCAAACCCGATCTGTATTCGATTAGGATAAAAGAAAAACTGCAAGGATTTTTAATTTTTATTTTTGATTAACATTTTTCCATTTTATTTGATTATTTCTCTCCTGGTTTTCCGCATTTCTCTATGCATATATTAACGTGTACACATGCACACTTTGCGTGCATTTCTGTGTGTGTGTGTGTGTGTTGGTGTTCGTGTGAGTCTGTGTGTGTGTGTGTTAGTTGGTGAATGCATGCAGGCTTAATCTGGGGGTGTTTCGATCGATTTGATTGGATTGGATAGGCTTTGAAGGGCCCTTAACATAATTATACCATTTTGCTTTCACGCTGCTCATAATTGTTTGTGGGTTTTATTTTTTTTATTCTATTTTTCCTGCTACTAATTCCAATGCAATTAGGGAGCTGCATGACTGTGGGTATGTGAGTAAATTTGTGTGTGTGTGTGTGTGTGTGTGTGTGTAGCTTTTTTCATTTTCAACATGCTCTGTTGTTTCATGCAGCTTTGTTTAATCTCTGACATGTTCCTTTTTTATTTATTTAAATTTATATTTTTAATCATTTCTGTTGTGATGTGTTTTCATGTGTTTTATTCGCTTTTGTTAAGCACACATACATTTATTGACATTCTTTAATTATATGCAATTCTTTTATAATATAATTAATTATATGTACATACACAACATTGAATCATTTATTGTATTACATATATGTATATGTATTTAGCTTAAATCGTAACCATGTACACATAATTACATATAATTATGCTAAATACATAGGCATATCTCGTATTATAGGTAATAGTATTATAAATATTTCTGCTTCCTCCTCTCTCTGTCTCTCTTTATTTGGATTGCTATCGTTTTGCTTATAATTTTGCTGTTGTCCTTAATTTTCCAACATTTTCATTTGTTTTTGCTTCTTACTTTATATTATCTCTACCATAGTTTTTGTTTTTTTTTTTTATTTTTTTTTTATAGTGTATTTTATGTATTTATTTAAAATTATGCATAGCTTTTTGCTTTTGTATAGCAGACAGTTTTGTTGTTTGCTCAAATAACATTTAGTTATATATAATATATATAATATATATATATATATATATACATATATATATATACACATATATATATATATATATATATATATATAAATGTATGTATGTATGTATATAAGTATATATAGATTTGTATGTAAAGTTATGCATACAATGTTGCACAGTTTTTGCCATTGGCTCTCAAAAAACACGTTTTGCCAAGTTTAAAAAATAAATCAGTTTACTTTGTTAATAGCATCGTTTACTCTCATCGCATAAAATCACAACTTATAGAAATTAGACGCACTTTCTGTTTGGGATCTCCACATCCTCCAATGCAAAGTGGGCTAATTTTTCATTTCATTCGTTTAGCTTTTTGTAAAAAATAGTTTACAATTTTAATGATTTTCCATTTAGTTTTGGTTGCCTCTTTTTGTAAATACCATAAATAATTGTGTTTTGTTAACAGTTAGCATATAGTTTTGTAGATACAATTACAATCTTAACTAAACATTGACTAAACTTTGTAATTTGCTTTTGCTACACGTTGCAGTCAACGTCAGAGTCGCTGCATATTTATATATGATTTTTGTTGTCGTTTTCGTTACTCTCTCTCTCTTTTTGTTTTATTTATTTTCATTTGTTTTTTGCTTTCGCTAAATATTTCACTATTTTGCCTCGTTCAGCTGTTTGCTGTTACATAAAGATTTCTTTGTTCACATTTACATTACATAGATACATCCATAAGTTTCTATATGTGTTACCCATCGATTAATTACCAAGTGCTGCTTACATAAATAGTTGTAGCTAGTCATGAGTACATCTACATGCATTTTTTATATATATTTTTTTAGTTTTTATTTTGTGATTTCTTTTGGTTTGTGTTGCTTTATCACTATGTTTTTACCTATGTATGTATGTGCAAATTATCTACTTTCTGACTTGTGTTTACATTTAACTATTTTGAAGGTATTTTGTGTTTTTCTGTCTTCTTTTTTTGTAATTTAATTTTTTATTTTTATTAAATTAAATTAAATTTTTTATTTTATTTTGTTTTATTTATTTTATTAATGTTGGTTCCTTTGCTTGATTTTTCAACTCAACTTATTTTTGGGTTTAACTGATCGAAGCAACTGGGGCCGCCTATTTAACGACTTCTTAAATTAGGCGCGTCTATTAAATGAGCTGCGGATTAAACTAATTACTCATAGCCAGTGTCTAGGGGGTAAAGGTGGTGACTGCTTAGCTCAGTAATAACACATCAAAACCCATATACATACAAATATATATGTATATTTCGAAATTATTCAGAAGGCGAATCAGTATTGAACATTTTGGAATTTCAGTCATAATAAAATATTTCAACAGCTCTGCTTCCAAAATTCCTTTTTTCTCTGAGGGTTTCGTGCACTACAACATACAACTAATCTTTCGACTTTAGCACCCGCTCTATTATAAATTTAATAGGTACACCTACTGCTGAATTGCACAACCCCCTGCCCCATCACTTCAGAAGGTTCCTTAAAACCAAATGGACCCTTTGACTGCGAGAATATAGACACAAAAAACACACATACATATATTTTCAATTTAATTGTAATCAATTGGTTTTTTTTGTTGTTGATTGAATTAGTTGTACATAAAATATGGTTATTTGCTATTGCACAATTTGGCTTTATTGCTGTTGCTGTTTGTTGTTGTTTGCTGTCGCGGGTTGCTTATGCTCTTTATACTTAATTTTACTTTTTGCCATCAACAATTGGATATTAAGTACTATATATATCATATTGCATATGTTTTGCTTGAATTCATATCTGATGTGATACTCTTCTATCGCTCTTCTCATGAGTTCTCTATATCAATCGAGGGTGTTGAACTAATAATTGTGTGTCACTTTAACTCTTCATTTCATTTCAATCTTTGTACAATTCTGGCATGCCGTAGACTTGATTTACTTGATTAACTGTTGGTGGTTGTTGTTGAAGCTGCTGCTCGCTGTTGGACAACTGTTGTTGTTGCAGCCAGTGTGGTTGCGCATAATGCAACTGTGGTGCATAATGTGTTGTATGTGGTTGCTGCTGTTGTTGCTGCTGCTGCTGCTGTTGTTGTTGTTGTTGTTGCATCTGTTGTTGCAACTCGTATGCCTGCGGCTGCTGCTGATGGTGGAGTTGTTGTACATGATGATGATGCTGTGGTTGCTGTTGTAGCTGTTGTTGTAGTTGGTAACGCGGCTCCTTCACATAATCGCCGCACGGTGGCTGTTGCTCCTGTTGCTGTTGCTGCTGCTGCTGCTGCTGTTGCTGTTGCTGCTGCTGTGTGGGATACATGGCCACCGCTCATGGCAGCTACACGAGCAGACTCGGTGCCAGCCACTCATCCTCCGCCAGCTACAAATGCCACAAGCTAAGTATACGCACTTGCCACCTACACCAAGCAACTCACCTGCGGACTGACCTGAAACTGTTGCATGGGATAGGCAACAACGCCAGCTGTCTGGGGCAAGGCACCGCCGACGCTCTGTGTGATCTGTGGTGCAGCAGCGGCCGCAGCGCTGGTCAACTGCGGCTGTGGCGGCACACTCTGCCAAGTGCCGGGCAGCTGCACACCCATACTATTAAAGAAAAATAAAAATAAAAAATACGTATTGTTGCGAAAACGCTTGTTCATATTAAATCAATATTCGCACACTTACCCCATGTAGCTGGCCTGCTGGTAGCCAGCAAATTGACCGTAGGTGAAGCCCTGCATGCCCTGCAGAAATTGGCCCGGCTGCAAGGCGCTCGCCGGTGCCGCTGTGGGATATGTGGGTGCCGGTGGATACCAATAGCCGGCAACTTGCTGACCATAGGCGGCTGCTGCAGCAGCTGCGGCAGCGGCAGCCGAACCAAATGGAAAGCCCTGTGCCAGGGCTTGGCCAGCAATGGCAGACATATGATTTGGATCGCCACTCTCCTTGCCCCACGCACACTTCACTGGCTGCTGGTTGATTTCCGTATTATTGACAGCCACTATAGCGTGTGTGGCGGCTTCTTTTGTCGAGAATCTAAAAGGGGAAAATCGTTGTGAATATTATTGTGTGTTTGGTTTGTGTAGCTTGCGGCGTGTAAAGTTAAAGCAAACTAATTTGCTGGGGGAGTTGGCTGCTGCAGATTGACCTGCTTAAATTTCCATTTAACCTACAGCAACAACAGCAACAACAAAAACTCGACAACAAGTTGTGTTAGCCAGAACAAAGCGTAAAAGTGGTACAAGCGTCTGTGGAATTGTTTTGGCTCTTGTTGTGCTTGTATGTAGTAGTAGCTGCTAGTTGAGAGTTGTTCTAGTCCACCTCCTGCCCGTTGCTGTTGTTGTTATTGTTGTTGTGACGGGGTTTGAGTATAACTGCAGCAGCAGTAGCAGCAGCAGCAGCACCAGCGGAGACCACTTGTAGTCCCCAAGCTCATTATGTTACAAAACGCCAAACAATGCCAATGCGGCTCTTTCTCGCTCTCCTTCTTCCCTCCCCTCATCACTCTCCTCGTGCTCTCACTACCCGTTCCACAGTTGCTCTCTCGCTCTTTTGGCTCTGTGCATAGCACAGAAATGAGTTTTTGGACAGTGCACAAAGGGTGAACCTGGTCTGTGCTGCAACTGCAATGCGTTGCCCTCTTTGCCAGGCTGATGCGGCTTGGGTATTGCCTTGTGGTGGGGAGCGTGGGGTCCGTTAAGCTCCCCAACACTCGCTGGTAGGGGCCAACGGCTGCCATTAAAACCCTATCAGCATTCGTGGCAGCAGCTGCGATCTGCTTTCTACTCAGCTCTTAGCTCAGCTGCATTCCCCCAGCTCACGTTTCTCACATGCTTTTTGCATAGTTTTTGTCTTCTTTGGTGGGAAGTTTTGCTAGTTTAATACTCTTGCTAAGATTATTGTCGTTTTGTCACTCATTTGCAAAGCTTTGAAGAAAAATGTCTTAATCATAGACATGATAAGGCTGGAATCGAAATTGCCATTTTCTCAGTTTTGAAAGAATCTTGCTGAATCTTCTGATCGGATCACTATGACTATATTTTATCATATCATCTATCGGTATAATATTGTCTTATTGAATGATATACTTTTGTGTTTTCAATATATTTCTATTTTATAAATTTCTTGCAAAATCAATCTTAGAATGTTGCTTAACGATTTCGATCAAAATTCCTGATTGAGTGCTCCAATCACGGAGAAGAGAATGAAACAATATCAGACTACACTCTATAGTTGCCATATCAAGAATTAACTCAATCAGTTTCAAAGGCTTGCATGAATGTTGTGAGAGCGATCAGTAAAAGTGGCGAACATTTCTACAGCGACGATCTAAGCAAAATATTGTGCATCTGTCACATATCAGAAAGAGTATTAAGTCTTCAATTGCACAAAAGCTAACATTCAACCATTTTTATTTTTGCCATGGGCATTGACGTCGCTGCTGTTATTGCGTTTCATTGTTTTGTTGCCTCAAAATTGCCTGTTGTCGTTGTTATTGTTGTTGTTGTTGTTGCTGATGGTGGTGGTGTTGTTGTTGTTCTTGTTGTTGTTGAGTGCAAAGTGTAGTTGATTTATTAACGGTGCGGCGGACCCGCAGCTGAACGGAGGCACATTGAAATGGCGTGCACTCAATTGCAACGACAACAACATGAAAGCGGTTTTACAAGGCAGTGGTTTGGGCTGGTGGTTGTTGGGTTGCTGGTGCTTCGGGACCAACGTTGGCCGCAGGCCACAATGCATTCTACTGGTAACTAGTCGCCACCAACAAAATCAAAATGGCGCGAAACAATGGGTTTATGTGGTACAGGCGGCCGCTTTTAATATTATTTTTTTAGCTGCTGCTGTTTTCATTATTTTTTAGGGGGTGAATGTGACACACACGCAATGGGGACAAGCCGTACTTACCGTACAAATGCATATCCCTTGTCCTTGAACACGCGTATCTCCTGTATTGTGCCATATGGCGAGAATGTCTTCTGCAATATCTCCTCGTTGAGGAAGCCAGAAAGGGCGCCATTGATGCCGCCGCAGTAGACGGTGCAGTTGGTGGGACTGCTCTGGTTGTATACCTCGTCAAAGGTTAACGGCTTGACATTTACTGCAAGTGCAAATTATCACATTTTATTCGAGCTTAACCGAGTTGGGTAAATCATTAAAGTTAAAGCTTAAGATACTTACTGTCTGCCTTGGTGGCCGGCGGTTTACGTGTGGCCCAATTTGTGCGTATTGAACGCGAGCCGAGCCACTGGCCGTTCATCGCAGTGATGGCGGTTTCCGCTTCCTGCAAATGCATGGAATTAAATGGAAAGCAATTAACTAAAAGCTGAGCACAATTTGTAAACAGTTGTTTTAGCCGCTTAAGCTGCTTACAGCTAAAACAAAGCCAGATAGAGAGAGAGAGAGAGAGAGAGAGAGAGGCCAACCAAAAACATCAACAAACAGCTCAGAAAGTGTTGAAGAAAAAACAATTGCGGCCGTCGAAAAGTTGCTCCTTGCTCTTTGCCGCAACGCGACATTGTTGCTATGCACAACACCAACAACAACAATTTGGCTGCTTTTTAATTCTAGTTGAGCTGCCCCCCGCCCCCAACTACACCTTTTGCTACTCGCAACTTGCAGCAAGCGCATACACAAATTATAATTTCAATTTTGCCAAAAATGTATCAAACGTGATTCATGCAATAATTATTGCAACCAAGTTGGATGTGTGTGTGTGCGTGCGTGCGTGTGTGTGTGTGCCATATGGGCGTTTCAAGCAATATTAAGTTGTGGCAGACCGAAAGTCCAAGTCGCAACATTGCCTTAATGAAGTTTGTCAGCATTTGCGGTGCACGTTCTGTGCAATGGTTCAGTGCATTGTGCACTGTAAATAGGCACGGAATGCCTCAGGTTCTTTTGCAACTTTCTGCAGGGAATTTTTTATTTTGAGGCTATGTGCAGTGCTTGAAATACGCTCTTCATTGCTATACACTCTATCTTAATAAACTAGAATTTAAAAACAATTAACTTAGAGTTCTTTTGTTTCATACTGGATTTTTTATTATTATTTTTATTTGTTATCTATGTGAAAGCAATATTTTACGGACTGTTAGTAAGAAATGAAATATTACAAAAATATACGTTTATATATATTTGCCATTTACAGTGGAGGGTATTTCAGTGTCTGAACAGTAATTTGTAGCCCTTTTTTTTAGCTTCATTACTCCACTTGAACAAAAGTCAACAATTGAGTGGCTGCCCCCAGCGATAAACCAAGCAACTGTCGCGCAACATTGTCCATAATTTAAATTGAGTGTGTTGGTATGAGTGCATATATACGAATATAGTGCATATATAGGAATATATATATAATATATATAGAAATATATATATATGTATGTGTGTGTGTGTGTGTGTGAGTGTGCATGGCTTGGTTAAGTCACGCAGTTTGCGTGCGTGCGCATTTTTATGCATTGCCAGTTGCATTTTTCATATTTGCATAAACTATAAATTGTACATTTTTTAACCGATACGCATCGTTGATTGCGATGCAGAAGCAGCAGAACAACAACTACAACAAACAGGACAATCAGGCTGTGGTGGGCCAGCAAAGAATGCAACGTCTCACACCCGAGCATCAGAAGCTATTTAAATATTTTACATTTATTTATCAGTTGGCTGCTTCTTGGGCGACTTGGCCAACTTTAAACAGCCACATGCAATATTTAATTTGCAGCTGTTGTTGTTTTTGTTGCTGTTGTTTTTGTTGTTGTTGTCGTTGGTCCCTTCTCGTTTTGCTGGTTATATTTGACAGGCGCTTCAAGTGCAGTCTATTGTTACAAATGTAGCTGTGGTTTTTTGTTGTCGGTTCCCTGTTTCTATTTCAGCTTTCTTTTGCCAATTGCAATTGCAATTCCATGTGTCAACAGAAATTGTCTTAACAAACGGTCAGCTTAGTTGGTAGCTTGAAGCCGGCAAACGAACTTTGACAGAGATCTGATGGTCACGGCTAATGCAATGCCACTGACAGAGCGAACTTTGGCCAAAAAGTTGCACAGTTACACTGGCCAAGCAGTTTTTTGGGTTTTTTTTTTTCCTTTTTTTTGGGTTCTTCTTTCGGGGCTTCGAAGAGTCTGGGTAAAACTTTATCAATCATTTTGATGGTAAATTGCTTAGAAAACATTCGGTGAACATGAACTGAGCAAAGATGGAGTGAAGTACATTTTGTGGAGAGTTGTTTAAGATCCAAAACTTTAAACTTGCTGTACAGCATGATGATATTTATGAGTAAAGCGTGCGCTTAAATGCGCATTTAATCGCCTTAGTGGCCATCATAACTTTGCATTTTGCGGGTGTATACCCGAAGTTCAAGAACCTTTAAGTAATTTTGCCAATTCATCTAGCTCAAGTGCCTGTTAAATACCACAACATGACACCCAATCGCATGGCTGCAAGTTGGCAAAACTATTTATGAAAGTCGCCCGCTTCAGGTCCAACAGGAACAACAACGGCAAACGACAGCCTCAAAAAATGTCGAAAACTAATTGGAAAGTTTCTGGGTAAAACATGAGGCAAATAACAAACGGAACAAACTGAATGCTTTCGGTTTTGTGTGGACTTGTTCTTGGGCATGACTTTTTGGCAAGGCTCATTGGCTTTAGCCATTGTTTATTTTCTTGGTATGGTTAAGATGTCAGTTGTTGTTGCTTATGTTGGTGTTGTGGGCAGGCAGGAAATTAATTAATTGTGTATGGCAAATTTGCAGCTAATAGCGAGAAAACTTTGCAAATGTTTGCTGCTTGCGGTTGTGACAACTAGCAAACAACAAATACAGGAACAACAACAACACGTGGCAAGTCGAACGCTGACAAAAGTGTTGCCTACCTATGAGCGCAAGCTGAAGCAAGCTGAAAATTAATTAAATTTCATTTAAGCCTTCAAACCTGCTGGTTGCCAATTTCGAAAGTCAAACGAACCAAGTGTTTTTTTTTTGCTCAAAGAATTGCATAAATACCAAGTTCCACTTGCCGCGTCTAAGTTAATTTAATAGAGACGACAACTTCCGCCTTTCGAATGAGATAATTAATTTCCACGAAAAGATGACGGTAAAAGTTTCTGGCTCGCTGGACGGCCAAAATTTAAAGAAAATTTTCTGTAAATTCAATTTTATGTTCAACTTATTGTGAGTTGTTTTGGTGCAACTTTTATACTGTTCGCCTTTGTAAATATTGATTACTTGATAAGCGTTGAGAATCCTTTAATGCCCCCTCATGGCCTCAAAAAGGGAAATGAAATTGCTGGTAATACTCGCAGCGTGATGGTGTAGAAACGGTCGGGGGAAGTGTTGGGTACAAGTCACAAAAAGTTTTTGTTGCTGAGCAGCTCAAGAAACAGAACCAAAAGGCGAAATACCTTCATTAAGCGAATGAAGAAAAGCAAAGTAAGTTGAAGAATTTTTAAGTGGTTTAAAAGGGTTTTGTCATACTTTTCATCTGGATACTAACCAACGCATCCACATTTTCTTTCCCATCCCCATACCCAGCGCTGCCACAAATGGGTGGGCTGACATTTTGTGTACATAACGTAAGTCGGCAGCAAGACATTTTAAATGTTTATTAAAACAATAAGGAAATGGTTTGTGCTTGACGCAAGCAGGCAGCACAACAAAAATAAAAAAAGGACCAAACAAGAGAAGGAAAAACTGTAGCGGGTGAAAAGGTGAAAAAAAGGCAAAGTCAAACACACACAAAGGCAGGATTATCCTCACACAAATACACTCCACGGAAATAAGACGGCAACCGTTTTGTCTTTCGAAAAAAGGTAACAAGACGCACAGTATTTAGTGCTGGTCAACTCTGGTCGCTCCCTCTGCCCCCCTCGTCATCCACACACACACACACACACACGCACACATCATCAGGCTAAAAGGTTTTTGGCTCCTTAGCCAGTTTTGCGCTGTTCTTCGGTCAGATTCATTAACGTGGCTATTTAGATAAGCGCCAAAGCTTCTCTGACCTCGTCAGCAGCTTTAAGGACAACCATTATCAAAGTCACATCTTAAAGACAATACCCTCAAAAAAAAAAAAAAAGGAACAGCCACAACGGGACGAGCTAATGTCTCGACGGACTTTTCGTCTGACAAATGCATGATTTCTGATGGGCGTTTCTGATGATTTCTTGATATTTATAGAATAACTCAAGTGGCAAATCGTTTACACACTTGAAATGCTGTCCCATTTGTCGCATTCTAAAGCATCAAACAGATATCGATGTGTGTAAGCCAGCAGCCAACAACCTACAGCCAACAGTCGATGGCTACAAATATTTTTTCATTTCGTTTAGATCGAAAACGTTTTCGATTTTTGACCATTGCCTGGTCACACATCACAACATTTGAATGGAGTGGGCGGGTATGGGCTCAAAAATCAGTATTTCACGCAAGAGCGCATTTTTGTCAAGACATAATTCCATGGGATTTATTTGTGTATGCCATTTTTTCATTTTATTTTTTTTCTTCTGTTCTTTCTGTTTCCATTTCGATTTTGTTTCTCATTCCGTTTACGCCCTCATCACTCCGACCCTCTCTCAATTGTTTTTTATAGTTGCGGCCTCGGGGGCAGGTCGAAATGCTGCTACTGGTCATGTGGGTCCAGTGGGTCGGCTTATGCGTGTGTTGGCAGTTTTAGGCTTCAAATCACTAGTTTCTGAATTATTATGGAAAACATAAAATGAATGTCCAGGCCATTTATATTTATAACCAAGTTTTGTCCGCTTCAGCAAATTTATTACATACAACTCGGAACATTTCGCTTTTTGTTTGAAATTAGCTTTTGTTCACAGCAAGTTGAGCTTTAAAGAGTGCCCTGAAATGTTCTAAGTAAATAACTTGAAAAGTGTTCAAGATTACAAATTATGGCTTATTGAAGAAAATATGTTTGCTCGGATTTCAGCACATAAAGTACTAAAAAGTAATTTTAATCTTTTGCTGCTTTGATTTCTTGGAAATATTTCAATATTGATTGAGCTTGTGGCCTGGACGCTTATATATATTGCTAAAGTTATTTAAATTGCTTGAAAGCAAGGTGCAACGAAAACTATTATGTAATACCAAAGTTCAAATTTTAAGTCAGAATTGGCAAATATTCTATTACCACAAACGCAATATTTATTGATCTATTTTGATCGAGGGGATAACATTTCCGATCTCTGACTGTTATAGACAAGATATACAAATGACAACTGGAAAATGAACTTGACTATTGATGCTTACAAAAATTGGTAATTTAAAAAAAATAGGGGCAAATAGTGAATAATTTTTATCCTTCAGATCCTTTCAAAATACTCTTTTACGTATATAAAATGTGTAAGGGACACAATAATGCAACAATGAGCACCGCATTCGCCGCACAACTGACGAGAAGAGCATACTGAATGCTGAGTCTATTATCATCAAGGGTGTGGCAGCAGGGGGTAGCATTACATCTTGTTCGTTGCACACATTGTCATATTTTGTCAGCGTGCGTTTAAATAAAATCTAGGCACATTGTGCAACAGAGGCTGCTTTCTCCACTAACACTTGCAGTGCTAATACGATTAAGCGCAGTTACTTGAGACGTGACTGTACTTTGTTTGTAATCAGTTGTGACCCAATAAGACTGCCGCACAGCGGCCACTTAAGATGCAAGCAGCAAGCAACAGTCGAACGCAGTTGTAGTTACTCATACGCCGCGTTTGCCGCATTGGCGTGCAATATTATGTTAATGTTATGTGTGACAATAACTGATGCCGCCAACGATGGCTGCCATTAGCATTTTCAAGCAGCCGCATGATGGTGATGCCCGAACAGCAACAGCAGGCAGCAAGCAGCTCCTCTGGCATCTCCTGTTTCTCCTGCATGGGCATGTTTATTGCTCTTAATGTTTGCGTGAGTGTTGTTGTTTCTTCATACCCTTACAGAGGGTTAAACAATTTTGTCGTGAACTTTGTGGGGTACAATCCCAAGTATATATATGTATAGATATTCTTGATATGTCAGTCTGTCCTGGTTGATCTAGAGACAAATATCACAGTAATGCCATCAGCATCGACGACTATTTTGTAAAGCACCCGTAGAAAAAATCGCTCGTTGAACTCCGGTTTGCAAGGATATGTAATCTTCGGCGTATATGAAATAGGTCTTGATATTTTCATTTTTTTTTATTTTCTTTTCAACTACATGCGTTCGTTGTTGTTGTTGTGATTTATGATGCTAATGACACGCAGCCCGGCTGTCCTGGCGCCTGCTGTCTCGTCTGCTGCTCTCCTGCGTTGATGGTTATTAAATTATGGCAATTTGTGTACATCGTCAACGTTTGGTAGCGGTGTTTTGACTGGTGTTTATTTAAAGCATGTTGCCAAACAATTTGCGCTAAATATTTGAGGGCTTCTTCAGCAACAACTACATCAGCAGCAGCAGCAGCATCAGCAGCATCAGCTACAGCTCCGTTGCTCGCATTATGCAAAGCTCAGGGATTGGCGAAATGTTCATGCACACTCGGAAGCGCAAAATGAAGAAAATGTTTCTTCCTTTTCCGTTTGCAGTTGCAATCGAAATGCACAAATACACGCACAGCGTATGTGGTGTGTTAGTGTATGGAAGTGTGTGTGTGTGTGTGTGTATATGTGTGTATGCAGTAAGCCATTCGAAATATAACTTTTCAATTTCCGCAAAACCACAGAAAATATATAAACTTTGCACAAAAATTTAATAAAACTTTTCGCATAAATAAAATTTGCATTAAATCAGCTGCAAGCGACGTCAGCCAAGGAGGGAATGGGTTGGGTGAGCGTGCCAACGGCTTAGTATGCCGTATATGATGTTTATGTGTGTCTGTGTGTGCGTGTGTGTGTGTGTCTGTGTGTGTGTGTGTGTGTGTGTGTGTGTGTGTGTGTCTGTGTGTGTGTGTGTGCATTTTTGTGTATCTTTGTCTGTCTGTGTGTGTGTTTGTGCTAAACTCATGTCGAGAAACTTAATTTGAAATATTTGAGTTTGCTATTTGGAGCGCGTTTGTTTTTCTTTCATTTGCCTTTGCTGTGTGGCATCGAAACTAATCGAGAAAGTTCGAAAATTTGTCGCTTGCGCCGACCCATCTCCCCTACAGCATCGATGCAACATAAAAAGTTAACTAGTTTGTGGCAGCGATGCGTTTGACACGTCGCTGCCGCACTTCAAACTAATATTGCGTATACGCCGCCATGCACTGTGCACCCAAAATAACAACAACAACAGCAACTACCACTACAAAGAGACTGTGCAAAAGGCTTAGACTTTGGCATTGGCTTAAGCGTTTGACTGACAGCCACCGGGTTTTCAAAGTGTCATGGATTATGTTATATATGTATTTGCAATATTGCGCATTCCATTGCCGCCTGTCACACAAACCGCAAGCTATCTCTCTCTCTCTCTCCGACTCCGACTTTGACTCTCTCTCTCTCTCGCTTTCTCTTTTACGCATAATCTGTTTGCTGTATGTGAAAATATTGATATTAGCATTAAAATTTAATTAATAACTCTCAACGCTTCGCTGCGTAGTTGACTTATATCGCCCATGGCTTTCATGTTTCATTTCGCCTGGCCGATTTGAGCTTTGATTTTACTTTGGATGTGATTTGCTTCAAGTATTTCAATGTCTGTCTGTCTGTCTGTTTGTCTTTGCACATATAGAGCTAAGCTGGCGAATTTTTCTGCTTGGCTGCCCTGATACGCAGTGCTTACTGTAGCTGAGCTGGCTTGGCTCCGGCCACGCCTAGCCCTTCTGGCGCCAACTTTTGTCTTTGTCAAATTTTCTACCTATTAGGCACATGAAATTCAATAAAAACAGACAATAACACACACAGAGACATGTTTGTTTTTTGATGTGGGTTATTTGTGGCTTAAACATTATGAATATAATCAGCAAATGCGTTTAGATTTCTCAAAAACCCAGCTGGAGGTGTTGTTGCATCTAAGCTAAAAAAAATTAGCACAGATTGTCTTGTTACACAAGCGAATTAAATTTTGCTTTGCAGCAATCAACAAAATGCAACACAGACATTACTTAAGGCCTTTACTTCTGACAGCTAAGCTACAGAAATGTCTGGATGTGAAGGGGATGTAAATATCATATAATACGTCAACGTCTTAACTTATTTGCATTGCGTTTAAATGAAGTGCTTAAGGGCAGTTAAGCCATTTACAGATTTCGCTCTTTGTGCATTTCTCAAGGTGAAAGGGGCTGTTAATTTAATTAAAATACAAATAATCTCTATAGAGTATTCTGACATTGATGGCTTTAGAAGTTCATTCAGAACATCTGAGACTGTGTTTCTTTTTGTAAGCTTACCGATTTCTTGACAAAACTGACGAATCCATAGCCCTTTGATTTCAGCGTTTGCGGATCGCGTACAACTCGACAGTCTCTGTAAATGACAGACAAAAGGGAATTAGTTACATAAGTATTCACTGCATATATATACATATATATTTATATATACTATTATCTAGTTAAAGTATTGACCTTTAAGAAATTATCTGCAGAAGTTCATTTAAAGAAGTTGAGCAATCTGAAATTATCTCTTAATGTTATTAAAACTGACCCACAGAGACACATACTCACACACACACACACGCAGTGCAGCGTCTAGTAGCTGTGTTAAGTCTCAGTAAATGAAGTGCCAAAGCAGAAAGTCAAAAACGACGTCATGGATGTCCTTTGCCAGGAAATCCAATAGAATTGCATGTGCACTGAACATATGAGGCGAATAAAAAGTGTTGAGAATTGGATTTCGGTGTGGAGAGAGACCAGATAGCAGAAGAAGAAGAGTAGCAGCAGCAGCAGGGGCAGCGGCAGCGGCAGCGGCAGCAAAATTATAAAAGCAGGTCCTTAAGAGCGTCAGCTAGCGGCTTATGCGCTGGGCGTGGCGTCCTAGCCAAGTTAAAAGGATTTTAGCTGCAAAATGCCACAGAAAGTGTTAGACCACGTGTCGGACGTTGGGCGTGTGTGTTGTGGGCAGTCAGGGAGCGGGGGGAGGCGCTTTAAATATGTATGCCCGTCTTTCTTAAGCCACGAAGAAATATTTTGCGCTACCCACTGATGAGTGTGTGGTATATGCGAGTGTGTGTGAAACTTGGCTCAACCACAACACACCAACACTAACAATGGAATGTAAAGGAGGCAAGAAAGCCTGGCAGCCCGCATGTCGACCGCGGTATTTAAAAAAAAAGACCAACTTGATTGTAAATCACGATAAAAGTCAATTTTTAATATGAGTTTTAGTTTACACCACACCCCATAACCAAATCCCCACTGCCCCCCAATCCTACCACCCTCCCTCCCTCCACTAAACCCCATTTCACATTTTAGCCCATGTAAAGTGGCCAACAAAAAAAAAAAAAAAAACAAATAAGAAAAAAATGTGAAAAAAGAATGTATTTTAATGGCCTTTGGCTTCAGTTTCAACATACAGCTTTCAGCTTTCGAGCTTCAAGGTTGCAATTTATGGCGATGACCAACAACGAAATTGCATTGGCCCAGGCTGGCCGAGCCCCGTAATCGATACGCACATAAATATTGGGGGGAAAAGCATATTTAATTAAACTTTAATATTTATTAGCTACCAAAGGAATTTGGCTGCAATTGCTCTGGGCCATAGAACTGCGCTAGGGATTCCGATTTGTGTTTCGGAGCACTACTTTGGGTTTGGGTTTGAATCTGGGGTGGACCTGTCTGGTTACCTCTCTCTCTCGCTCTCTCTCTCACTCTCTGCGCTGTTGTGGTTTCGCTGGCATGCAAACACACAAACGAACACGAAATGAATATATTCACAACACACACACACACACACATACACTCACTTACACACATACAGCTGCACATGTCCGTCAGAAGTGCACACAAATAATGAAATAATGCAGCCGTCCCTTTGCCTGGGCTTCGATTGTGCTAACAAATTAAACGGCATGCAAATGTATGCAAGCCATAGAGAGACATACATACATCCATGTGTATCTCATGTGCTAATGTGTGTCTGTGTGTGTATAGATACAACATGCATTGCATGTTTGATATCCAACAGCCAACTTATAATATTTCACAATCGATAAGCATCAGTTCATATTTTCATAACATTTTTGCTCGAACATTGCCACAGGCAGCAGACATCAACCCAACAATCACAACACCAACAATAGCAGCCGATGCAACAATAACAACAACCATTTGATTTTTCAGGCAAACAAATAGGAAAATGACGGTAAACATTCGCCTGAGTATCGTATCGCTGTAATATGCTTAAGCATTTAACATAAAACAAACATAACCTTTGGCAACGCACAAGAATTAAATCGCAATGTCGACAAATCTCATACATATATATACGCATATATCTCTATATAAATATATGTATATATACATATGTACTTAATGTTTACTATATATATACAGCTTGGCTTGCCAATTCGCCTCAATGGCTTCCAAACTGTTGCCATAGTTGTTATCATGCACGAAAAACTCAACTCAAAAATTTGACTACTAGGACGATGAGTGCTGCAACAACTGTGGCAATTTATCCGCTGACGTTTACTTATGCAGCAGTCAAGTGGAGTGGTTCTGCGGGCGGGAAACGTGTTGAGGGCGTGTGCATACACACACACTCTGTTTGCTCGAAGAATTGAGCAGTGATGTTGGGTGGCAAATGCAAACGCAAAACGCACACACCAGCAACCTGCATGTCTTATTGAAAGGATAAATTTATGTCGATAAGCAAGACCAGGACCTGCTGGCATGCCAATGTGCATCTGCATGTCTGTAATTGTGTGTATGTGTGTGTGTGTGGGGTGAGTGCTAGCCAAGTAGTATATGCAGCTCAGGCCAATCAATATCTTTTTCACAAATATTGGCAAAAGTTTTGCGTTTGCTTTTACTTTAGCTTTGGCTTTGGCTCGGTTTCTGTTTCTGGCTGCTGCTGCTGCTGCTGCTGTTGCTCCTCGGAAATAAATTTTCCCAAAATATTTTTGTATCTTAAGTGCATAAAACTATAAACGTTAAACAAAATATTTCGCACACACACACACACACACACATATACACAGATGCGGTTATTTATACTACATATTTTGGCTTAAGTCCCAAGCCTTTGGCTCTTGCTTCGTGTAGCTTTTGGCCCCTACTCTCAACCCATGCCCCACACCGCCCCCACCCCTCCATCGGACGGAGTCTCTCTGTTCAGTGTATCTTTTAGGGCGCGTTGAGCGCATTAGTTGGGAGGTTTTCGCTTTTTGGCTTTTAAAATTGGTTTATGCTAACAATGCCCCTATATCTGCACACTGTGTGTGTGTGTATGTGTGTGTGTGTATATATTGTGCGACATGTGTGGTGAAAATTCTTTTGTGTTTGAATTAAAATTGCATATATGATTTATAGAGAAATTGGAGATCGTGCTGATGCCAATACTACTGCTGCTGCTGCTGCTGCTGCTGCTGCTGGAACGAGTTTGCTCAAGTAAATAAGATGAAAACGTATGCATAAGATTCTTGCGGCACGACAAAACGAAAGTGAAATCCAATTGCGGAGAGGGCAGAACTGGTTATCGAAATACTG